CTTAATAAATTTTGTTTCTGTTTAGAGAGATGAACCTAATAATGAAACAGATATTTAAAAGTTATTTTTAGTGAACATTTAATATGACAAGGGCAAGTTTCAGGCAGGTTAGTAGGAGGTGAGAAGTTTGCAATGTCCTGAGGCATCCACTTCTACTGATCTTTCATATGTGATTAAATTGCTGTTTCTAGATGTAAATCTTGCCAAATAGCTGCTGGCTTTTTAATATAAATTACACAGATGTAACAGGGCAGAATAAACCTGATAAGCTTTATGAAGGCATAGTGCAAGTTGCTTATGCTCTTCTCTTGGCTAATTGCTTCTATTCACTGCTTAGCAAGAGCTCTCTCCTGTCTTTTTACTGCAGTGAATTGCTTTGCACATAAGTAGCTAGAGCTTAAAGGATATTTTTGTAAGGAGCTGAAGCAAAACACTTTTGCTTCTATTCTTCGTCCTGTTTTTATTTATTTTTAAATGCGATACAGAATTTCATCCTGTTCCTTAATCATGGGGTTCCTTTTCTGCTAGGCAGTCCTGGCTGATGTGTGGATTCATGGCCTCACTTGTGAGGCTGTGGAATAGCAGAAAGCAGAGTAGCAGGCAGCAATGTCAATGACAAGCAGTTTAAGCAGGAGGGGCAGTACAGCTGGAGGAGAAATGGAGCTGCTGTTCTGCATCCTGCTGCGTAGGAAACGTGGTGACACAGGAGTGAGTGGACAAGCACAGCACCTTTCTGCAGAATCTTGTTGTGTGAGTGCTTCTGCCTGTGGCCTTCCCCTGGCCATTGCTTTGGAGGGGTACAGAAAGGGACAGTGGGCATGGGGCAGAAAGAAAGAGCTCTTCTCTCTGCTGTGGAAGTCTGTAATTATTTCCTTCCCCGTGATGGTGGTGTATTTTTAAAGGTAGCTTCTCCCCTCTGGGAAACAGGGTTGAGTGCCCAGCTTGGTCGTTTTTTGGAGGTGATCTTGGAATGTATGGCAGCTCTGAGACCAGGCACCATGTGCTGAAGCTCTTTAGTAATTTTGTCCTGTAATCAGAGGTAATTGCCTTGGGTGCTGTAACAGGGCCATGTGAAACTGGGTAAACACAAACCAGCTTAATAGGCCTTAAGTTAGTATGAATAACTAAAACATTACAAGAATGCATTCATGGCAACTTTCTGATTCTTCCACTCTGCCTTTTCACCTCTGTCTCGTTGCTCAGTGCTCTGAGGAGGGTGTCCCTGGCAGCCCCCTTGTCCTGTTTGCTTTCCCCCTTCCTTGTGAGGTCAGGAGGAGGTGGCAGCTGCTCCTCCTCTTGGGGCTCCCAAAATGTGATGGGGGTGAATGCTGCCAATCCTCCCAGGAGGTGGTGCTGAGAGCAGGCTTGGACAGCTGACAAACCAAAGGCTCTTGTCCCTGCCTAGGGAACTGTACACAAATTTTCCTGCTGTTTTCAGGCTTATTCAGCAGCATTGTGAGGCAGGGGGACTGTGGCAGCACTTGTGCCCACTGAGCAGCTGGCTTCGGACTGCAGTTTGCAGGAGTTTGCATCAGAACTTGACCCAAAACAATCCATCAAGGCCAAAGTGACAACTTTGAATCCACAGACAGCAGTGAGGCATTGCTTTGCTCCTCCCTCCTTTACTACAGCCTCTTACCTGTGGACATGGGCATCAGTACCAAATTTGAAACATTCGAGTTGTCAAAACCAATCTTGTTGTCTCGTTTATTAATCTTTGGTGGCTTTATGTTACACAGTATTTGTTTTCATTAAGACTCATGTCACTTGGGTCTGAAAATGAATCTGAAAGTATTTCAAGTCTGTGCCAGTTTGGTGAATGTATCTCACTGCTTTGTACCCCAGTACAGCTCTCCCAGTGATATTTCTTATTTCTGTCCAGCTTTTTCTGCCTCTGTCTGAAACAGGGCACTTTTTAAAGACACATTCTCCATGAAGTCACACTTTCCAAGCTCATCTCCCTGCTCCATGCTGCAGCTGTGATTGGAAAGAGGGTTTAACCTTGGTTGATGATGTATGTAGGGGACATGAACAGCCAGCAAACTCAGGTCCAGGCTCTGTGGTCTTTTCAGCCCCAGCACATGGAATAACACAGGCAGGAGAGTCAGCCCAGAGTGAGGACTGACAGAACTGAGAGGCTGGTGTGGGAGAAACATGGCACATTTTAAACATGGCCCTTTGAACATGGCTGGAGCATGCCTGTCTCTGCACAGAGCCTGAACTCCGTGTTTTCCTGCTGAAACCTGTCTGGGGATTGGAATGTGTGTGTGAATAAACACTCAGATCTGTGTTAGTTCTTTTTAATGTGAGCCACTTCTTCAAGAGTGATCTGGGAGACAAACACACTCTTACAGAGGTGCTCTCTCTGCTGTACCTTTTGAAGAAAAATTTCCATGTCCTGCCCTCCTTTATCCCCAAGAACAAACTCGGGTGAAAAAACCTTTAGTTGCTATAAAGTCCTATCACAACCTTGTGAAACAAAACCCTAAGGCCCTTCTGTTATCATCTCATTAGAGGCTTAAATGAAAGGAAATTGAGAGTTAAGGTTGTATCTGGCTGAGTCATTGTCTCAGACCTCTCTACATGCAAGCAGATGTGGAATACTTTGTGTTTAAGGTTCAAATGCTCTGAGCAATTGAATTATTCAGTTCTTAAAGGCATTTGGGAAATACAATAATAAATATTGGCCATAGGGGTAGCATAGCTCTGTGGTGGAGGTGCCAATAGCCCTATATTTATCCTCTTGCCAATGTAATTTCTAATGAAATAACCATCTCAGGAACTCTGTAACTATTCAATATATCCTATTGAAATAGTTATTCAATATATCCTATTGAAATAAGTTCTGTTTAATTATAGCTGAATTCTGGTCTTAATTTCATGATTGTTCATGTTTTCTGGAGGCTGGGTTTCAGTTCCATTCTCTCACCAAAGATATTAAATAAGTATTTAAAGCAGGAGTTCCTCTGGCTATGGTGTAAGATGACTCTCCAAGTGCAATGTGATATAGAATTAATGGAGAAGACAAAACCCCACAACCTCCTTTCAGGTATAGGGAGAGGTAAGGCTTTCCCTAAGCCTCCTTTTATCCTGCCACTGTGGGTTAGGAGAATTTGGATGTAACCCTTCACTTTTATTCTGGTTGGCTCTGTACACCTCAGAGGTGACAGTCTGAAGGAGTCTAATGTGCTTTTGGCTGGGTTTGTTTTAAGGAAAATGTGCATTTTACTTGGGCTACACTCACACACTGATTGTGTGTGGCAATTTCAGTTTAAAAAATTGAGATTATGCAAAATGACCCCCTCTTTTACAGCCTAATTGAGTTGCATGACTTTCCTTGACAGAAAAACTTGGAGTTGCCAGTATTCTGCTTTTCATTGCTGTTGGCCTGTACTTGGGGAATAATATGTTCGTGAAAACGAGAAAGAAAAGAGGCATCCCACACAATCATCACATATCACAAACTGATCCTCCTGCAGTTTCCCATTATCTTCATGCACCCAGTTCTTACATTAAAATCAGACAGATACTGCTGAGGAAGGGTGGAAAAAACCTGGAAACCAAAGGATGCCAACACCTGGAAGCCAAGACAGGCAAGTTCAGGTTTGGCAGCCTGGTGTTTTAGGATATTGTGCAACCACCTTTTTCCATTTTTGTGCTCCTGTGCCTGGGAGTGTGCTCAGAGCCCTGCAAAAGAGGAGTTTGGGATTTCTGTCCCTCCTGAAAACTCCTGTCCCCATTCCCAGCATCTGCACAGGAGGTGGGAAGCTGATGGGAATTTTTGTGTGCACTGCAGTGTGTCTGTGCTTCCATTTCTGACTGACATCCTAGATGAATTATTAGAATTTGTTGTGTAAGAAAGTGCAGATTACTTTGTGTGCAAATGAGACATGAACTGCCTTAATTAAATCCCAAGAAGTGATTTATTTTAAAAGAAACCCCAAAAATGCTGAAATTTGCAGGGTCATAGTCACAAGGAAAAAATGTGTGATTTGTTTAAAAAAAAATACACCAAACAAAACCCCAATTGTTTTCCCTAAATTGATTGCAAATGTGCAAGTATAAGTAACATTTGGGTTTCTTTAGCAAACTCCCAAGTGATTCAGCAGTTGCCAAGGTAACAGTGCTACTTTTTATAACAATAAAGATAGCATATAAAACTTCCACGCTTTTCATTGTCTGAGATAATGCTGCACTGATGCTGTAATAACATTATTAGCATGTACTTTCTTTTGCTCATTGAGAAGCATGTCTGGTTCATAAATTGGCTGTTCAGTAGCATCTACCACACTGGGGTCTGGGCTCATCAGGGCTCCTGGATACTGCAGGGATGTGAAGAAATAAAAAAGTATTTTGTTGGTCCAAATCAATTTTTTTAAAATGACCTTGTTGATTTTTGCTTTTTGAGGCTGTCATTGTAGCTTGTAGTTGCCCCTTATTAGTTAGCTGAATATTACTGACCTTTTCAATGCAAAAGTACCAGTATAGGCAAGTCCTGCAAGTAGTCTTCAGGACTAAGATATACCTCCTAAAACATTGAGGATATTCTTCTATTATTCATGGGAAGATGTGCATTACTAAAGAAAATTCAGGTTTTACTACCAAAATTTTGGTTGTTCTTGCACACTTTAGAACTGCCCTGTTCAAGCCTAAATGGATGCTTTCTGTTGTGCTTTTTTTTGGTTCCCCCTCCCCCCCCCTTGAAATTTGAGTTTCTAGAGAACTTTGGCAGGCAGCTCAATGTGGTTACTCTGCATATGAACTCCTAGGTCTGGGTGGATTATTTGCATTCTGAATATCTGACCTCATGTTTCACTCTCACTGAGTTTTCCACCTCTCTATTGAGATTTTGCCACTTCACAAATGAGAGAAACCTGTTTCCCTGCTCATTTCTTCAGTCAGATCTGTGATTTTTGAAAATAATTTTTCTTCTAGTCTCTGTAGTGGTGGCAATGAATCTTCTAATAAAAAGGCAGAAAAAAGATTCAAGTGCCCTTTATTGGACTTGTGGGCTATGCTCCAGTCTACAAGAACAGACTGGAGCAGGGAGTAGAACTGACACAATTTACAGACTGAAATGCAACAATAGCAATTTAATCTCTGCACAAGATAAAGAGTTTATTATTCTTTTTACCTTTGTTCTGTCAAATGTTATTTCTAGGATAAGTATCTGGTGGGCTGTATTTTAAGAAGTGCAGAGCAGTTTTTTCTTCACAACAGGCTTCATTCCCTAGGATTATAGTAGAGAGTACTTGTGCTTTAAAAAAAAAAATCCTCAACAAAACACTCTCTAAAACAAAACTATGTCACATTCTGCCTCTCTGTCCAGGCATGCATACACCAAAAGTGAAAATCTGCCATTTCCAGATAAATTGGTTGTTAGTGGCCAAAGACTGATGTAATAACAGACTGATGAATTCAAGATGTAATTTTCTCCATCTTTATGACTTGAATGTTTGGCTGGCATTCCTCCTCCTGTTATCTGGTTTTACCTCAGTGCAAATATTGATAATATTCCTTGTATGAGAGAGTCGTCTGTGGTCCTTTGTTTCACTGCAGTTGTCCATTCTTCCTTTATTTCACTGCAGTTCTCTGCTGGGTGTGTTAACTCAATGAAGTCTGTGGCTTGGTCCCAGCCTGCAGCAAAAAACAAAGGTGTGTTTTAGCTTATTTTTCCCTTTGGCGTTTATTGGTAAGGAAACAAGTGCTTTGAAGTATTTTGAATTATCTGATTCTCCTCTGTCAATTTGCAATGTGCAATTCCTGTGCTCAGTGCTCACCTTCTGAGCCATGGGCTCATTCTTTGCTGTTCTTTGCTGACCACATCTGGGAGTTGATGTGCTGAGGAGGTGTCACTGGGTATTTTATCTCCCCGTGTTTATGCTGGTGATCAGCACCCTGTCTGCCCCGGGCAGACACTCCACATCTCGCTTTGAAATGCAATGCAACGTCTGGACCCAATCAAGTGATGCTGGAAATAAATGCTCAAACAACTCAAACAAAGTCTTGGAGAAAAAGGGGCTTGGAGGGCTAAGGGGGAAAGGTTTAAATCGGTGTCAAATGAGTTTTACTGAGTTTTACTTGGATTGATGGGCTTCTGCAGATTCATTAGTGGGCCTGCCAGTGGGATGCTGCTGCATTAAAACACAGGCCTGCCCAGCCTTGGATGGAAAAGCAGAAAGTAGCCTAAATTCAGTTAAGGGCTGAGTTCTCACAAACTTTTGTCTTTGCCTAATTAGGAGTAGCACTGGACTAGTAGCCTGGAATATACAGACTAAGGATGTGTTTAAGCCTTCCTTGTAAAACCGTATGCTCAGCAGAAAAAAAATAGGGGGAATTACTATTATTTTAAATTATAGTTGGCTGTGAATGGAGCATGATACTATTTAGATGTTTTATTATGGATGATGTAGTAACAAACTTGAATTCAAGAGAAGCTCAGGTGACATTTTGATCACGTTTCAATCAAAGATGATACTCTTTGGGAGCAGAGCTGGAAAATACTGTCCTTTTATTTTTAAATTGTAAATAAATTTGCTACTCTCATAGCTGCTGTTCACTGCTTTAGTCGTGAGCATGTTTTGTTTATTTTCAATATGAACTACTTGCTAATTGTTCTCTTCTGCTATCCACCCTTTGTGGTGGATGCCTTTTCACTTGACTCACAGCATATGATTTTTTAAACCATTTTATGTTAACTTAAAATAAAAAGTTAACTTTAAATAAATCCTGCATCTTGTGGCATACTGATAACCGTAGAACGGTTCTTGTTTGGAAATCCTTCAAATACCTCATCACCACTTCACCAATGAGTGACAAAGAGCAGCACAAGCCAATGCTTGTGTCATTGGAAGCACTTGCTAACAACTGATTCAAGAGTTTGATCAGCTCCATCAAGCAAATAAAATTTGCACAGGTCAGTGGAAGATGGTTGTTTTTACTAAAAAGATTCAATTGACTCTTAACCCACCAAAGCTGTTGTCTGCTGAAGAGATTTAGAGTCTCATCATGAAAGCTTGAAAGGGCTGATTATGACAGCAGCAACCCCTTGTACCTGAGAAGTTAATTAGGAGGCAGGATGAACTGGTCACAGGGTGCAGACCTCTGCTGGGAGCAGCAAGTTGATGTAATTCAGCTTTCATGGTGCTGGAATATGGAAAGAGGTCGGTGCTGAGAGGTGCTTAGTACCTGTAGACAACAAACTACTTAAAGCTGCAAAGTATTCAGGAGCAAAGATAGGGCTGAAAAAAACTGTCTAGCAAGTTGAGATGTCTGAGGTTCATTATTGCTGTCACTGAGGGGTTTAGTCCTTTTTCTCAAGGTTTCTTAGAAAATATTTTCTGTGGCATGCCATGCACGGTGATGCCAATTGCCTGAGAGAGCGCCTGTGACTGGAATATGTAGAGTTGTGAATTTTGTCTGATCATAAATCACTTCTCTGAACATGGTGTGGCAGTTACTGACGAAGATCAAAGATCTTTGGCAACTGTGTGCTGTTTCTGCCAGTAGGTTTTTTTAGTAATGTTATAAATTACCTTTTAAAAAAATTGAAAAGGAATTAAGGATAACCATTCCCAGAGAGTCTCAGAACACCATTTTCTCTTTAAGTTGGTAGTAATTTAAAAACCATTGTATAGGCATTTAAGAATGCAACTTATCCAAGGAAATTGTTCAGAAAAACATTCCTTTTAATTACTTGAATATGATAAAACTAGGTAACTAGAGATTTTTGTTACAAAAGTGGTCATGATTAGGGTATACTGTTACTACTATTTATTGTTAATGGTTAAAAAGGCAGCTTTGAAACATTAAACTTTGGGAGCAACTAGATTAATTCAAAAGAAGTCTAAGATTAAGAATGGAGATGAAAACCTGGCTTGATTTATAAGTCTTACTCAGGAAATGGGAACTATATGACATTTGCATGTGCCATGCAAGATAACCACATTTTCTGGAAAAAAAGGTAATGCAGAAACAACATCTGTGGTAAGGCTCTACTGTACCTGTTATGGTCTCCCTTGCATTACAGGTAAAGAATTTGAATGCCAGTGCTGAACTTCAAGTAAATAAAAACAATGGCAGCCCGTTGGGTAAGTGGAAGGTTTTCTTTTCTCCAGTGGCCTCTCTGAGACCACAGAAGGCAGGAGGTCAAGGCAGCTGTTCTGATTTCAAGGTGCCTTTTCCAGCTGTGATGGACAGCTGCTTGACTATGGCTTGGGATGTTTTCTCTAGGGAATGAAAGGACAGAGAATATGGAAGGAGGGGGAAAAGTGATGTGCTGAGTGCAGTCACAGCAGAAGCTTTTGGTTTTTTGGTACATGGTGGGTTAGGAGTGGCAGGAGAGGGAACTTAAGAGTGAGGAGCTTGTGCAGAGAGCAGGGATCCCTCAGGCATAGGAGGAAAGGCTTTTGAAGGATTAGAGTGTGCTGGGGAGAACTTAGTGCAGCTCAGATTCTGTTGCTTGCTTTGAAATGTAGGAAACAGCCAGAAAACTTTTTTTTTAATATTGTCACTTTAAGATTCAGTCTTGCTTTTTGGTGGAGTTTGGTGCTGATGACATGGAAAAATGTTGCAGTGCTTGTTCTTCCTTTGTGTGACCCTTTGTGAAAGTGTGTCTATGTTTTTTTTCTGTGAGTGTTATCTTTTGCAAGCAGTGTTGTCAAGCCAGCTTGTCATGTTGTTAGGGAATTTTGGACTGGATGGTGGATCATACTGGTAATACTTCTGGCTTAAAACCCTCGGGATCTGACAGAACTGAAACCTGTTCTCTCCATTTTCCTGCTCAGTCTACAATTATTTGCATGCTTGGACTTATTTATTTTTTGTGTGTGTATTTTGACTTCTTTCTATTTTTTTCTTTGGTTCAGGAGCCCCCTGGGTACAAAACAGATTTGCCACAGACACAGAGTGTGCTCTATGGCTGTCTCCAGCCTGTGATGTTTTCCCCAGGCTGGAGAGCAAGGCAGTGTCCCTGCATTGCACTTATGGCAGGGCTCTGTCTAGCTGGCATTTCACAGATGAAAAACCATCCTTTGTTCTTTATTCTGAACTCAAGAAACTTGATTTGGCTTTTTTTTCCCCTTTAAGAGGAGAGTTGAGTAAACCCTCAATGTACCTGAACTCCAAGATGGTGATAAGTTTCCTTCATAGGTCTGGTTGATATGGCATTCAGATTTTTTTCTCCAATATTCATTCCCCAATAGAGTAAAGTATTGCCATTAAAAGGCTGCATATTCCATTGGAGAATTGGTTTCATCTAGGCAAAGGGTGAAATGGAATTTATACAGAAAACCAGTAAAGAGCTTTGAAATGTGTACGATGAAGTGTGTCAAAGACATGTTTTTACTTACACTTTAAGTAAGACAGATTTGAACTTTAACTTTCTGCTATTTCTTTATGACATTCAGAAGGACAGTTAGATTACACCAAAATACTTCTGAGTATTTGTTATTCCAATGTTACTTGAAAGGCTTGTACGGTCAAGTGTATTTGTGTGTGAACAGTTTTGCTTTTCTTTCTCTTGAATGGAGGCTTTTGTTTCAAAGGCCAGCACAAGAAGGACTTGGGTATCTTTTGGTGAAGCATTATTGAAATTTTTTTTGGAAACAGCATGTCTTACTTCCATTTTGTGTAAATAAAGTTGCCAGGCTATAGGAAGAAAAATCTGGGCTTTCAGTTTAAAGAGATCCTTATTGCCATAAAATTGCACACCTATAATTATCAAGCAGTGTTGTAGCTGTTCAAGCTTTTATGACTAAAATGTTCATGCCTTGATTATCTGACTTACAGCTGCAGAACAGGCTATTTAAATCACTGTGATAAAATGAACTGAGCATCGTGGCACTTAAACCTCTCAAATTCTAAGGGATTTAAAGCACAGACTTTTTGAAGTGGTGCCCACTCATCCTCGTGCTATTCATCATGCTTCTCTGGCTCCTTCTCTAACCACTGATAGAACTGCTCAAACATCTGGTCATTGACAAAACAGGAGTGAAAACACAAGTATTTGATTTAAGTGATGTGTGCAGTGTTCTCTGGGACGAGAGGAATGCCAGAAGGATGTAGCACAGTGTTATTTGCTCGAGGTACTTAAAGCTCTTCTGGAAAATTAATTTAGTAGCCAGTTTTGAGGAGAGGTGTGTTTTAAAGGGAGGCTGAGCAGTGGTGGAGGTTTTTTTTATTCACCACCCTCTGAAAATCTTTAGCTGCTGATAAATGTAAGGCTGTTGATCTCTGTTAGGTTTTCAGTCTGCTGCTGCTTTGCAATGCTCAGCTCTCCACTGCCACTTTGCTCATGCCTGGGAGCAGATTGCATTTGAATTTTCAGAAAAATTGCATTGTATTGCTAGGATGGACACAGCTGCTGCTTAAACTTCAGTAATTCTCCAGAGTAACTCTTGGTTTGCAGCGAGTTATCTGCAAATTTAATGATGAAAATATAACCACATCCACCTTCTAATAATATAAGTGACTCAAGTAGCTTCATTGTTTGAGATGATTACTGTAAATAGGAGTAGAACCAATATTTACTTTTGCTTTAATCTCTTCCTCATGATTCATAGGAGCTGGCAAAATTAGAGAATAATTAGATTCTTATTCCAGTATTAGGAAAATTCTATTACTTAACATGTGGTGTT